GAAGAAGGAAGGAGACAGGCTTTGGTTGGCTCCTGAGCTGAACTCGACTGAACCTGAAACTTGACTGCACGCACGGTGCAGCAGACAAGAGCAGCAAAATATTCAGACTCTGCTCCTGCTCATCTTGCCTCCTTCATCTGCTTTTCTCTCGTAATTTCTCTTCTCAATACAGCCATCCGTACAAGCTCAGCGGCGTAAGAATTATTTTACTCTTAGATTTATTTGAATCAATTTGGTCAACAGCCCGAAGCTACCCACCACGAGCCCTCTGCCGCAAGCAGTGGAAATGACAGCGGAGCACAAAATGTGGTCGTCAGTCAATTTCTGCAACAACAAAATTACTGCCGCCGTCTGTGCAGGGTAGAGGGAGCACACAAGACTAAGATCATGAGCTGAAGCAGCAAGACTAAACTCAAGACAGCATAGCGAACCTGTGCAAGTACGAAGCGAGGTTCGCACGCTTGTAATTCGCGCAAATGCACATGGAGGCGGGAATGAACCGGAGAGGATTCAGATGAACAGGCACCGAATGCATCTAGAAAACAGAGGAGGCGCCATGGCAGAAGCAGAGTGGCAGCGGCGCCGGTCAGGCAGGCTGCTAGTAGTTGTCAGTCAGTGTTGCAATTATTTGTAGCTGTAGTCAGTGTCAGCGAGTTTTGCGTATGCTACAGATGGGATGATTGTACTCGAGCGTGACATATTTCTCCACTGTCAAAAATGCTAAACATACCAGACTATTACTTTTGTCTATTTATAAGACGGGATTGTTACGGCCCTTTCCTCTAATTCCCTCCACCCTCTGAATTTCAGTCGGATGGGACTCGTGTGTCCCACTTAATCCATCATTTTTCTTTTTTGGCAGGAAATCCAATCAAAATTTGTCAGGTCAATATCAGCCCGCATACCTTAAGTAACCTTCTGTGGATGTAGCATTGCCCGTTCATTGTAGAGGAGAAAAATATAGTACTCACTCCGTTCATTGTGTAGTGTCAAAAGACGTCTTACATTATGGAACAGTGAGTAGCTTGTAAACCCAATTTTTGCGGCATCTGGTATTAGATCATGCTGGGAATCAGCCCAAATTGGAGCCTCTTCAATTCAAAGGGTTCAAATGAACACAACAATACAATATAGTACACATATATATATACTAATTGAAGGCACCAATAAAGCCTCCACGTTAAACTCAAGAAACACATAAATTTAACCTTCAAATCCTAAATCTACCGTCCAGATGAAATAAGTGGTGTTTAGAGTCCTAGAGTTATACTAGTCTCCAACGTGAGGAATTGTAAACATAACTTCTCTGGCCAAAAAAATGATGTTTAGAGTCTCACGGCTTCAGAGATATGCGTCCTCTTGCCCCTCATGCAAGCCCTCTAGAAGAGCATTTTTCTCCCTAAGTGGGTTTGGTGTTGATAACCACGTAATTTGTGGACTAACCATGTGCTTAAACTCCCTGTGATAACAACGTAACTTTTAGAATTTCTAGTGTGAATGCAGAGCGTGTGTGCTTTTTGTTGCTGCTGGGATACAAAGGGGTTTTCGAGTCCATTGACAATTTCTCAAATTCTTCTTCCTCCTTTGCATTTTAATCTTGCACCACCTGATCAGGCACGTCATCCAACATCCCAATCATATTCTGACTGCATCCCTTTCCTCATCTGTATCTTCTGAATTTGATTCATCTTCCTCTTCACCCATTAGTTAAATGTGTGTTTTCATCATATCTCTGATCGTCAACATCATCGTCACTGCTGGACGCATCCTCACTGTGCGATGTCCAACGTGTATAACCATCGGTAAAACCCCTCTTCACCAAATGATATTGAAATTCTTCTTTCGATCCAACCATTCCCGTGTTGTCACATTTACGACATGGACAACACATCATTCGTCTGCCATTAACCTCCATGTGTTGGAGGGAAACTTGAAGAAACCCTTCCAACTTCTCGATGAAATCATTGGTTGCATTGTTCTCCCATTTCCATAGGTACAGCAGTGCCTACTTGCATTGACTAAAAATAAAAGGGCGGCATAACCGACCTTAGATATGTATGCAATCTGTGTTTCTGAGATAACACGTTGATCAAATTACCAAGTAAGGTGGATCAGGAGGCTTTCGGACTAGCAGTACACGAAACCAATGAGTCGCAACTATCAAAGACACATGCAGCTCACCACCTCAGTAGCTGGCCAAAATGATGCGCCAAGGAATACGACAAAATGTTGTTTGTACAAACGGACTATATATAGAGTTGAATCATTACTGACAGGTCAACAAAAGGCAAGTCAGATATAACACTGGACAGTCCAGCATTTTGGCGAGAAACTCATGATGGATGGACAACAAAAGTGGAGATCAGTGAAGGTACAAACACCACTTACTGGCCATGTTGTCCAACCGGTCAGTGAAAGGAAGCTGGTCACTAATGACATAGTGTGGCTGGCGCCTGGACTCACCACAGACAGCCGCCAAAGAGAGCCCTCTGTGGTAACAATGTAGTCATGGCTTAAACAAATCACTGACGCGTGCACCCTGGTCCGTTTGTGAGAACCCTCATCATTGACGTGTGGCCAGAGGTCGGTTAGTGACGAGGGGTCAGTAATGTTCGGATATGTAGTACCGTATGATCATAGTCAGTGCCTAGTCTTTGAGCAGGATCCCAACTTGTTTGGGCTACGATTTTTAGACTGGAGGTCGGTTGCCTCGACGCACACTCTATGTTTTCTTGGACTCCGTTATCCAACTTCTTGATCCCTCTCAACTCCCTCAATCCCACCGCCTCTTGGTTGTATCCCTTTATTAACTCAAAACGTAGCATCAAACGGATTCAAAATAAGATGAGCAACATCCGGTCTCTACAGAGTTAAGATGCACACAACCAATCTAGCTTATGAACATGAGAGGGAAAGAGCTTAGAAATTATGCTTCTCAGTAAATTTTGAGTGATTTTTTTATTTGTGCTTAATTTCACTCGTAATCCCAGAAAGAAGCTGACACAAAGAGTGAATTACCGTTTGAAAGTCTCCCGTAAACAGAAAATCGAAACTCGGCGCAACCAAAGAATCACAAGCAAATGTTCTTGCCTCCCGTCAGCCCCCAGCCCTCTAATAATGTTCTAAAAAATGGTGATCATTGTGCACGCTTCTTAATTTCGGCCCTTCCCTTTCTTTTTGTCGCAGGAGTTCTTCCTTGAAGGTTGTTTTATCTGACTTGGCAGTTTCCGAGACGTGCGAGGCAAGCGCAGCAAATAGGAATCCTTTCTCGGACTCCGCAGTTTCGGAGACGTGTGAGGCAAGGGCACCATATAGGGGAAACCTGTTCTCAGACGTAGAGGCATGGAATTCACCAGATCCACCAGATCAGATGTGAGGCCCTTCTCTAGCAGTGTTAGTAGCTGGACGTATTTCCTGACGTGTGCTAGGAAGCTATCCTCTGCCGTTCTATATTTTTCTTGTTCATGAATAACAGGCTCTTTTTCTGGAGTGTGTTCCTGTTCGTCTGAGTTCTTGAATAAATAAAGCCACAAAAAAAAGGGGAAATCATGTTGCTGATAAAAAAATTAAATCATCTATTGGTACCAGGGAGCACAGTCAGCAGTGTGAAATATAATACCTTGGCTATAGCTAAACTTTCGGCATTATCGATCTTATCCACTTCATTGACAATATCCGCTATGGTAGGCCTTTTCTCTCGGTCGAACTCCACACACCTAAACGCTATTTCAATGCATGTTATAACTTGCTCTGATATATGCGATGACATTGTTTCCTGCATCCGCTTTCTCCAGTTTCCATGTACCTGCAAAGGTGGAATACAGTGGCCAAATGTTCCATGGAAAGTAGTAAGAGGCAACAGGATTATCTTTTCGGAAAGGGGACTATTGTGCACGATAAAAAATATCTTCCTTACATGCTCAAGAAATTCATGAGGAGACATATCTTCACATTTGGAATAGCCCTCAAATCCTGCCACTATCCGAATGATTATAACACCAAAGCTGAATACATCAAACTTTGGTGTGATTGCACGTCTATCGATGAATTCTGGTGGCATGTATCCCCTACATGACATATATTTAACACAATTATTCTTGCAATTTATTTCAAAAATAAGTTTACCATTAATATGAGATATCAACTTACATTGTTCCCATAAATTTGCTTGTGATATGCGTTTTTTCTGTTTGGAAAAGTCTTGACAAACCAAAATCTCCAATTTTCGGGACCAGGTTCTTGTCTAGCAATATATTCTCAGGTTTCAAGTCAAGATGGTAAATAGAATCTTTGCATCCATTATGAAGATAATTTATTCCCTTGCTAATTCCCTTAATAATTTTGAAGCGTGTGTTCCAATCGAGTCCGCAGGATTCATCTGTGGAGGCAAACATGCAGCGTACATATTACCAAGACGTAAGTCTAGGAATGTAAGAAGTGCATCATTTTAGGGATTATTCTTCTCTAATGTAAAACAATAGTATGGGCTAAGTAGAGCAGTCATACCAGAAATATGCTTATCAAGGCTTCCACCCTGCAAATATTCAAAGCAGAGAATCCTTTCTTGTACACGGGCAAAAATATATTCACCATTGTACTTGAAGCGTTCATGTCCTAGACCATAGCAGTAGCCCACTAATCGGATGATATTTGGATGCTGGGCCCTCATAAGGTTATTAAATTCGTTCATAAATTGCTTGTCATCAAGCCCAGGCATGTAGTGAAGCTTTTTGAGAGCAATCTCTTCTCCATCGTGCAGTAATCCCTGTTAAAAAAGTTATATGGCTTCTGGAAATGTCTGGTAGTACAATTATAACATAGGTAAGCAATAATAACAATTACCTTATAGACTACTCCATACCCACCACGACCGATGACATGCTCCTCAGAAAAGTTATCTGTAATTTGTTTCAACAACTCGAGTGTAAACTCCCTTGTCGTTGCACTCGTACGTTGTATCTTGTTCGCCATGATATCCTATCTATATCTCCTGCTGGGATTGACTATGTCGAACATTTCATCTTTCTAATAACACTGAAAACATTTCACATAGTTAAGAGAGAGCGTGCATGTATGTGAAATAGACATGCTGCATAGTGCATACAATTTGAAGCATCATATGCTTAAGCTGATTGACAAGCGAAAGAAGGCTAAAGGTTTGTGAAAAGGGAGTGTGTATACCACGTGACATATGTGGTAAGCAATCCAAACAATTCAAAAGGAAAATGATGTGTGTATACAATTAGGTATGTCGTTTAAAAGTATCAAAATAGAAAAAAATAGTACAACAAAGGACATCTCCTGGACATTCCCCTGGTGTTCTTCCTTCCTAGTCTCGAAAGGCTGTCAGCTAGCTCACTATGGATAATCCTCGGGCCCCTACTACCTTTGGTAGACTTTGCGATTCACGCTGTCAGAAGAAACACAATATTTTCTTCTGGCACTCATCTTGCACAAACACTAGTACTATTTATGTGTTATCTGTGGGGATAGAGCTCTAGAAACAGGGGATGACATGTTCGAGCTATATCTCCCCCGGCTAGAGTGCCAGCTCTGCATCGGATCAGCCCCTATAGCAGCTTATGGCTGCTATAAGTTGTCTTTTTCCCAATGAAATCATCATTTTAGATGCCTTGGCTATTTGGATTGTTCAGAAACAATTCGATTATCCTCAAAGGAAATCAACCAAGTATTTATGGATGGAGGGCCAAATTTAAGGAGGCGATGAACTTGGTCTGCCTTAGATTCCTCAAAACGAAATATTCAGGCATCCAACCGTGGACAGACAGTCCTAGGTGACTTTGTTCGCATGATGAACCTCTAACATGGTCATAGCCCAGATTAGCTGTGGTCTGGTATTTTTTTTCGGGAAAAAAAGAACAGCAGCGAAAATCAACGGAAGCAGGTTCCGGCTTATTGGGAAGGCGAGCGGGGGGAGGGGTGTTCAAACCTGGAGATCGCCGGAAGAACTGCTGAACTCCTGGTCGAGCGGGGATCTGGTAAACCTGAGAAATGGCACTGAGAACGTATATGGAACGGATCTGGCCGGAGCGAGGTAGACGACGCGGCTCCCTGGTTGAAGGGAAGGGAAAGGGTCTGGCCGGATAGCGAGATAGGCGACGCGGCTCGCTGGTTGACGGGAAGGGATCTGGCCGGAGGGCGAGACAGCGAACGCGGTTCCCATCTTTATCTTGCCCGCTCTGCAGAGCAATTATTTAGTCTAGTTTTTCTTCATTGTTTTTTTAGGGTCTTGTTCATTGTTTTTGAGATAGCTCACCACACATGTCAAGTGGACGACACTACCGAAACGAAACTACTGTGCACACGATCAATTTTGTGCACGACGACCGTTTTGATTAACTTTAAATCAATTCTCAAATAAAAAGATTAACTTTAAATCATCTTATGACTATGGGGCCTGGTCGTCAGGTGCACATGCATGGCACAAAGGTTAACACTGTTATATCTGAACAGCTAAGTTTGATCGTTATGTCCGGATGAACCCACATGTCAGTTTCACTAAAATCACCAATGAAGAGGAACCCCACGGGCCCAATGGGGATGGGTTAGATTTTCTCTAGCTTGCGGGGATGGGTACGGTTAGTGGTCAACTAGGATTAGAAATTTAGAAGGCACTGACCAGTGGGACAACATGGTTAGGTTCATGTTACGGATCACTAATCGGAACTACTGTGCACTAAACGAAAGGGATACATGGATGCAATAATTTTATTTTTTTGGAATGAATAAGCCACCAACCATCGTCCATGTAGCAGTGCCCAACGCTGATTGATCGCCTTCAGATGCTACTCGCGAATTTGAGGGAGAGGGCTTGGTTTCTTTCGCTATGGCCCGCAATGGCATATTAGGCTGACGTACCAAACATGTGTATGTAATTTTGAGAGAAGAACCGTGATATACGTGCGACAATTCACATACGAATTCTGTCCGACGGAGCAGATCAAACTGTATGTCAGTTGGACTCGAAGTCAACGAAGGCTGGATGTTGCATCGTACCAAATCGTACAAGCC